CTCTAGGTGTACTGGATTATAACTCCCACAATTCCCCCTCAAGATTTATTTATTATTCCATTTTTATCCCACCAACTCTTGGCAATTAACCCTCCTGCCTCCTGTTTTCCTCATAACAACCATTTGTGAGGCAGATTGGGCTGAGACCGTGTGATTGGCTTAATGTTACCTGGCTGGCTTTCATGGCTAAAGAAGGACTTGAACTCACAATCTCCCAGTTTCTAACTTGGCGTCTTAAGCCCTGACTCTTGAAGTCTATTCAACATGAGGGACATCACATTGGGAAAAATTGCTATATGCAACCAAGCTGTGATAGATGCTGCAGCTCTAACTGCTTTACTTTGGAGACGTGAAAGTTGAGGTCCCATGTGGCCTTCAGGAATCTAAGATACAGTCCCCAAGCTGCCAGTAAAGCTGCTATTTTGAATACAATAGAAACTATAAAACACATGGAGCTTAACTGCACCAACGCAGTGTAATTAATGTGATTTTAAACTATACATTTAATTGAATCTTTGAACTAACTCCATTTAATTTGGGAAATGTGCCTGCGGCTGTATTCCAGATCTGGCTTCAGTCCCTAAAATATTGCAAATTCCTATATTCTGTGGAAAAGCTCTAATGGGAAGAAGGACAGTAGATTTCAGAAATTGCAGCACAGCAAACTCAGTCCTGGAAGCTATTGATTTTCCCAAGCCTCAGACAAATTTCCAGAGGATTAATCTTTTTACAGATAATCCTCGACTTACGACCACAACTGAGCCCAACATCCCTGTTGCTAAGCAAGACGTTGAGTTTTGCCCCATTTTACAAACATTTTTGCCCGAGTTATTAAGTGAATCTGGCTTCCCCATTGACTTTGCTTGTCGGAAGGTCACAAAAAGAGAATCACATGACCCCAGGACACTGCGACCGTCATAAATATGAGTCAGTTGCCAAGTGTCTGAATTTTGATCACGTGACCCTGGGGATGCTGCAACGGTCGTATGAAAAATGGTCATAAGTCGCTTTTTTCAGTGCTGTTGTAACTTTGAACGGTCACTAAATGAACTGGGGTAAGGTCACAAAAGAGGATCAAAGGGCCCCGGGACACTGCTACCATCATAAATACATGCCAAGTGTCCAAATTTTGATTACATGACCGTGAAAAACGGTCATGAGTCCATTTTTTGCAGTGCCATAACTTTGAAGGATCACTAAACGAACTGTTGTAAGTTGTAAGTTGAGGACTACTTGTAATCTGCAGCAGCTAAAACAATTGCTTGTGCCAGTGATGGCGAACCTTTTAGAGAACTGCAACCCAAAACCCACTTATGTATCATCGGGTGCCTGGTGGGCATGCCCCATTGGGTGGGTGTGTCCCATTGGGTATGGGTGACCCATTGGGTGGGCGTGGCTTCGGTGCTAACGGCAAACTGGGTGGGACTAAAAAGTTCAATCCATCAATTCCAACTTTGCGAGATCTTTTTTTTCCCTGCAAGAAGTTGAAATTGATTGATTGAACCTTTTTTTTTTTTGCACACGGCGGCGAAGACCTAAAGCGAAAAGGTTTTATAAAACCCAGCTGAAGGCCTAGGACTGGGGCAATGGTGCGCATGCCCACAGAGAGGGCTCTGCATGCCACCTGTAGCACGCGTGACAAAGGTTCGCCACCACAGGCTTATGCTATAACAGTGGTGGCGAACCTATGGCACGGGTGCCAGAGGCGGCACTCAGAGCCTTCTTTGTGGGCCCGCGCGCCGTTGCCCCAGTCCTAGGCCTTCAGCTGGGTTTTATAAAACCTTTTCACTTTAGGCCTCCATCGCTATGTACACAAAAAAAAGGTTCAACCAATCAGTCAATTTCAACTTCTCGCAGGAAAAAAAAAGATCTTGCAAAGTTGGAATTGATGGATTGAGCTTTTTAGTCCCACCCAGTCTGCCGTTACCACCGCAGCCACGCCCACCCAATTGGCCACACCCAGCCAATTGGCCACACCCAGCCAATGGGCCACACCCACCCAGCACCCGATGATGCATAAGTGGGTTTTAGGTTGCAGTTTGGGCACTTGGTCTCTAAAAGGTTCGCCATCACTGTGCTATAATGAAGCAGGACCAGAAGACTCTTTTTGGGGCACAAAAAAAGGAGAACATTGTGTAAGTCGGCTGGGATATCTGAGGCTCACCTCCATCGAATATTGTTTGCCATCAATCTGATGCTCCGAGCCGGGTTGCGAGGCGCCGTCTCCCCAGTGAAGGTGAAAGGATTTGGCTGTATATCGGGCGGGAAGGCCAAAACCAGCGAGGTGAAGACCATCTTCCAGGGATACGTCAACTGCCGATTAAAGAGAGACAAAAAATCCAGCTCTGTTCTCAGCATTGTAGATCAGGTCTTCAACCTTTGGAGGCTTTTGAGTGTGGGAGTTTAGTCCAAAGCATTTCAAGAGTCCAAGTTTGCTTTCCTTTGAGCTAAATCAGGGGTGGCCAACTATGGCAACTTTATGACTGGTGGACTTCAACTCCCAGAATTCCTGAGCCAGCCATGCTGGCTCAGGAATTCTGGGAGTTAAAGTCCACCGGTCAAATAAAGTTGCCCACTCCGGAGCTAACTGCTATGATGAGAATCAGTTATACTAGCCAGTGCGGTTGAAAATACAATTGGTCCTTGATTTATGACCACAAATGGGACTTTTCAGTCCATGGGATTGAACTGGGAATTTCAGGCATTAAGCAATGCCATTATTAAGCAAATCATCACGTGACTGGCCCTGATCGTACAATCATTTTTTGCTGCAGTTGTTAAGCAAAGCAGTGGGGTGTTAAGCGAATCCAGCTTCCCCAACTGATTTTGCTTGTCGGAAGAATAGCTGGGAAGATCGCAAATCACAATCGTGTGACCGCCAGAGACCACAACTGTTGTAAATGCAAGCCAGTTGCCAATACTCAAATTGTGATGACATGATCCGCGGGGATGGTGCAACAGTTGTTACTTCAAGGACATGTTGTAAGTCATTTTTTCCTCAGGCCATCGTAACTACAACCCGTCATTAAATGAACAGTCATAAGTCAAGGATTACCTGTAAGAACTGTACAATTTCTGAGGCTTTCATCTGATCTGATTGGCCTGTTTTCCCCATCCTACATTTACCAGAGGCTGCAACTACGACTCCCAAAATTCCCAGCCAAGAACAACTGAGAATTCTAGAAGTTGTAAGCATCAGTGACCACTGAGTTACAGAAAGTGGCTATGTAATTTTACACAGTGGTCTAGTTCAGGAGTAGGCAACCTTGGCTCTTTTATGACTCGTGGACTTCAACTCCCAGAATTCCTGAGCCAGCCATGCTGAGGGAAAGGGAGAGGTTTCCAAGCTCAGCCATGCTGGCTCAGGAACTCTGGGAGTTGAAGTCCACGAGTCATAAAAGAGCCAAGGTTCCCTACCCCTGGTCTAGTGGCTGAATGGAGAAAACACACACACACACACACACACACACACACAGAGAGAAGGATTTAAATGTGTTTGACGGATTATGACCGTACCTATTTGAAAGTAAAATGACCATGCATTTTATATTCATTTTCTTATCCAAGAATACTGGGTTCAATGGGTTTAACTTTCAAAGCAAAGATTGGAGTCTTCCGTTTATTTCTACTTGGTGCTTGAGGTCTCATTTGTGGAAATATGCCTTTCCTTGAGAATGTCTAATGCATCAGCAAAGAGCATCATTACTCAACCTGATGCGAGAAATGCTCTGTTCCTCCCCCTCCTTGAGTAATATGCTTGCAAATTACAACAACTGTGCAAAAACAAACATCAAAAGATAATCGCTGTATTGCTAGTAGGTGCATCCCTTCATAATCAACACTCCTTTGCACAATGCTGTAGGAGTAAACGCACTGAGTACAGGCAACACCCCTTCAAATTAAATTCCGGCCCCTGCACGCAGTTTTCTTGGCAGCAATTTAGATTTTCTTTTTTTTTTTTACACTTCAGAGACTTCCATCCAAACTCACTCATCATTTCATTCGCAGTGGACAAGATTGCTAATTTCTGAAGAACAGTGCAGAGAAATTTACACTAAAGCAATTCCTGGCATGAATGCAACTAGAGCCAAGGGATCATGGGGTTTCTAATCTAACATTTAGAGAGAGAGTTTGGTGCCGTGATTAAAGGCGCTAGTTCCAAAGCTAGGTGACTGTGAATTCTAGTCTTGGCGTAGGCCAGTTGGGACACTTTAGGCCAGCCACTCTTGCTCAGCAAACCAATGGTGGAAAAAAGATTTCTATGTAGTCTGGGAATTGATCCTGGTTACAAAAAGTTCAACTGGAAGAACCAAACCAACAATAACCCAACATTAGAAGAGCATCAAATCCATTTTGACCCAGCTTCTCCTTCCCTCCTCTAACTGTCAACTGTTAAAATTCTCGCTTGCTGTAGTCCCTCCATCTTTTTCCCTGCATCCCACAATGCAATCTGATTGTCCCCCAAACAATCTGAATTGTCCCCCAAACTATCTGAAACTCAGAGTGGTTATAGATTGGAACAGCCCATAAGTGCAGCACATACATTTCCACACTGCTAGGGAATGGGCCTAGCACACAATATGCAAAGTCTGTCAGTGGTGTTTTTTCTTGCATTTGGGCTGTTTGATTGGAGTTGCTTTTTCCCTCCCTCCTGCTCCTATCTTAAGGACTAGAAATGTTTTGATTTTAAAAGAGCACATGAGAATTCTCTATGCAAGAAAAGGAAAGATACATAATCCCCCCCCCAACAGAAGAAGGGATGGGGCTAGCAGAGATGGCAAAATAGATTCTTTTAATTGGGGAAAAGAATATATCCAGGTTTGTTTCGACTTGGAGACCACTAATGGATTTTGTGCTCGAGGCAGAACAAAATAAATTGTTGGAATTGGGTTTTGCTGAGTAATCTAGTTTGTTGTTACATAAATGGCTAGTATTTGTTTATTTGTCCCTGCCTTTATTTATACAAATAACTTAAGGCGGCGAACATACCTAATATGCCTTCCTTCTTCTATTTTCCCCATAACAACAACCCTGTAAGATGGGTTGGGCCAAGATCACGCAGCTGGCTTTCATGGCTAAGGCAGGATTAGAACTCGCAATCTTCTAGTGCTTGGCCAAGATGACCCAGCTGGCTTTCATGCCTAACGCGGGATTTGAACTCATAATCCCACAGTTTCTAGCCTGGTGTCCTAACCATTGGACCAAACTGGCTCTCTAGTGCTTGCTATATTGGTAAAATAAAAGTTGAGACTATATAGTAATTCTATTTTGTATTTTACTGTCCAGAAAATAATTGAAAATCAATGCTTCTTTTTTCTTTTCCCCTTTACTCTACACTTCTCCTTTCTTCCCCTTTCCCCTTTTCCTACTCTCTTTATTTTCCTTTGTATTTTATATCATAATAATCTTAATAAAATTGCTGAAAAACAACAACACTCTAACTCACCTGTTTTCCCATTGTTTCTGATTTCCAGCAGCTTTTTGTTGCTGTCATAACCCACAAGATCCACAGGACCCAGACTGGGGTTGTGGGAAGCTTCTCTCTGAATAATGTTGATGGGTGACTGTCTCTTGCCGTTGCAATGACCAAGGGATATCCAGGTTTTAGGACCTGCCCAACAATACCCCCCAAAAGGAATAGTCATTAGACTTGAAGTGCCAAAGAAATACATTTTTTTAAAAGCAGCTGGAATCTCGTTTTCCTAAAAGCTACTATCTTTGCTGGGCATCCTGCTCACAGTTAGAAAATTATATGAACAGGGTTTTCTTTCTTTTTTCTTTTTTTTTACCACAGAGTAAAGCCATGGGATGAGATACATTCGCAAAGCTGAGTTTTGGAATTTAAATGCATTGGACGATCCCTGGCTGAGACTAAATATGACTTGTGATCTGGGGGTCAAAAGGAAAAGTATCTCTGTTTTTCTTACCACAGTGTGGCTCCATGTAACACCAGGAACCTATAAAGGAAAGAAATAGGGTGAGCCAGGTTTCTACCTCAATCCCAAAATAATTTTTGGAACTAGGGTGTCTTTAAATATGGCAAAAAAGTCAAAATGGCCACCATAACCAAAGCTTTGCTTTGTTTTGGACCACACCTGCAGATACCTCTGAGTAGCTAACAGGAAGGATGTGTAGGATAAGAGCAGGCAGAGCTGAGGGGCAGAGTTAAATGAGGCATTAGCCTAGAATCCTTATGTTCTCAAAAACATTCTAAAGCTTTGGTTAGACTTCTGCATCAGGGCACATCAGGGAACATATGCGTCTGTCATTCAGAGATGGCTGCACAACTGTTGCATTTATGCAGGTAGCCCTTGACTTTATGACCACAATTGAGCCCAAAATTTCTGTTGTTAAGTGAGACATTTGTTAAATGAGTTTTGACTGATTCTAGGACCTTTCTTGCCTCAGTTGTTAAGTGAATCGCCAAAGCTGTTAAATGAGTAACACGGTTGTTAAGTGAATCTGCCTTCCCCTTTGACTTTGCTTGTCAGAAGGTCGCAAAACCTTGGGACAGCAACCGTCATAAATATGAGTCAGTTGCCAAGCGTCTGAATTTTGATCGTGTGACCATGGGGATGCTGCAAAATCGTAAGGGTGAAAAATGGTCACAAGTCACTTTTGTTCAGTAAATGAACTCTTGTAAGTTGAGGACTACCTGCACTCCTGTGAATTTTAACGTCGGTGGAATTTGCCTGCCTTCCATTCTCCCCTCAACGGGAAGTCAGTTCTACCTATCAGCATGCAGGATGTGCATTTCCACAGTGGCTGACATTTGGGAGATGTACGTGTGCAGCTATCTGCATTTGTCTGCAACCTACGCTTGTCCGTCCACCCTTTCACAGCCTAGGTAGGTGTCGACACCTATGCGCAGTTGCGGACAATTCAAAATCAAGCTTAAGTCCAACCCCTCTTGAATTCCGTTCTGGTGCCAATTTAGGGCTGAATTTTAGTGGACCAGATTCTTGTGAACAGGCTTGAGCATGAAATCTTCTGAACTGCAACTTAAGGCATGCTCCTGATTCTTTGCACCTGCCAGGATGTCTTGAATCCAGCTATAATCCTTCTAACTTCCATGCATTTTTCTTGACGCTCCCCCCCCCCAAACTAACCTTGATTAGTCGCTAGCTTTTCCCAGTTTTTCCCCAGTTCATCTCCAGCCTACGTTTCCCAGGCTCAATCTTGTTAGCTTTCAGAGGCTGGTGAGCCAAATCCATCCAAAGTGGATTTAAGTTGTACCCTGGAAGGGGTTTCTGGCCTTTCATTGCCCCCCCCCCCACAAGGCACTTTAGGGTGGCATTACCATCAGAACTGGCGTAGCATCCGCCTGGAAGCCAAAAGACCATCGTGAGGGTTGTGAGTATCTTGAGAGAATCCATGGGATGGGATTTTGTCCAACTATGGGGAAAAGTGTAGGCCGATTAATCCATAAGGCAAACAATAGTAATAGGAGCCCTGGTGGCGCAATGGTTAGAATGCAATATTGCAGGCTAATTCCACCCACAACTTGGAGTTTGATCCTTACAGGCTCAAGGTTGACTCAGGCCTTCCATCCTTCCAAGGTCAGTAAAATGAGGACACAGATTGTTGGGGGCAATATTGTAAACATTGTAAACTGCCCAGAGAGTGCTGTAAAGCACTATGGGGCAGCATATAAGTCTAAATCAGTGTTTCTCAACCTTGACAATTTTAAGGCATGTGGACTTCAACTCCCAGAATTCCACAGCCAGCATTGCTGGCTGTGGAATTCTGGGAGTTGAAGTCCACATGCCTTAAAATTGTCAAGGTTGAGAAACACTGGTCTAAATGCTATTATAATTAATAGTAGAGGTATATGAACCAGTGTTTCTTATCCTGTCAGCTTGAAAATGTGTAGATTTCAAATCCCAGAATTCCCCAACCTCCCAGAATTGAAACCCACACATTTTGAAGTAGCCAACGTTGAGAAATTCTGATATGTACCATAGTAGCACTTATATAGCAGTAACAATAATAGTAGTATAAACAAATGGTAGCAGTAATACTAGTAATATAATTATTTCCATGAGACCATCAACATGGAACTGTCACGATTGTGGCAAGGAAGCAGAATTTTATATATTAGAAATCATTTATGAGAACGTAAGCGTGACCTGAAACTTTGTTCAAAAGAAAAATCAAGTCTCAGTCTTAGAGTATGATTAATAATAACAACCATCACATATATTAGAGATTATATCAAGTTTGTGAACATATACTTGGTAAACGTAGTGGCTGAACAATCTTTCCTGCAGTTATTTTAAACCTTTAAAATTAAAATGATTGCAGATTACTCCCCATAGCAATGCTGAGTGCTAGAATCTTTTGAAAACAGGATTAACAGCAACTGATTGCAGTTGGTTTTTTTTTTGCAATTGTTGGTTTTCCTTTAAAATATGAAATAGGCTTCATGGGCTGCTGAGGCAGCTATAAACAAAAAGGTTGTACATAAACAATATAAGATGTACACATAATCAGTTGTCACGGCCCAACGTTCAATTCTGGCACCAGAATAGCCAGGTAAACCGCATGGTACTTTGGGCGGAGCGGTTTGGTTGCCAAATTTTGAAAGAATAATCTATGATTGGACGCATGATTTCTCATACAGATTTGCATGGGCACCAGAAGCCACAACCGACTTCCACAGCACAAAGCAAACACTTATGTAACAACAAAGAACGTGTGATGATGAGACCATTGATAAGGAGCTGTTGCAACAGAGGAAAAATTTCTGTAAACATCAGAAAACCTTTAGGAGTGTTTAAGCACTGTATAAGCTGAAACTTATTTTTTTTTTTAAAAAAGGCAAGGTTAAATGTTACGATAGGAGGAATGATAACAGTGCTGAGACCTAATTAACTTCCCAACCTCCTTACCACAAGATGTGATAACAAACATATGAGACAAATCCACAGGGAACCAATTTGCTAAAAGCTTCTCTGTTCGGCATCCTTGTGCTCTCGACATTTTTACGTTCAGAATAAGCGACAGGAAAAACGAGATTGCTTCCATGCCTTATTTGATAGCAGTATTTGAGGGGCTGCCACAAAGATGAGGGGCTGGGGGGCAAACTATTTTCGAAAGCACCAGAAGGCAAGACAAGAACCAATGGGTGGAAACTACTCAAGGAGAGAAACAACCTAGAATTAAGGAGAAATTTCCTAAGGGTGAGAACCATTCATCAGTGGAATGGCTTGCCTTCAGAAGTTGTGAGTGCTCCATCACTGAAGGCTTTTTAAAAAGACATTGAATGGCCATTTATCTGGAATGATATAGCATCTCCTGCTCGTGCAGGGGGTTGGACTAGATGACTTCCAAGATCCCTTCCAACTCTGTTATTCTGTTCTGTTACTTTGTTATTTCTATACACCAAGGAGAATTTGATACATTCATTCATTTATTCATTTAGTTAGTTAGTTAGTTAATTAGTTAGAACTTACTTTCATGCTTTATTTCTATACATCAAGGAGGATTTGATATATTTATTTCTTTAACCTTTATCCTCTTTTACTACTTGTGTTATTTGTAAGAATAATAAACGTGGGACATAATAAATAAACTCAAGGCAGCAAACATTTCTAATATTCCTTCCTCCTCCTATTTCCCCCATAACAACAACTCTGTGAGGTGGAGTGAGTGACTGGCTCAAAGTCACCTAGTTGGTTTTCATGTCTAAGGCAGGACTAGAATTCCCAGTCTCCTAGTTTGTAGGTCAGCACCTTAACCATTACACCATACTGGCTCTTGTGTCTCTATTTCATTCTAAGAAAGAGGCTATGGGGTCCTTGGACTGATCCCAAATACTATTTATTTTCTTAGTAAAACATAGAATAACAGAGTCGGAAGGGACCTTGGAGGTCTTCTAGTCCAACCCCCTGTTCAGGCAGGAAAACCCTATGCCATTCCAGACAAATGGTGGTCCAATCTCTTCTTAAAAACCTCCAGTGTCGGAGCATTCCTGTGTGCAGAGTGCCTTGAGCACTACTAAAAATAGCCAGAAATCCAAAATCTTCCCCATCCACGATCTATCACAAAATAAAGCAATAACTCTCACAGCCTCAGTTGCCCAACTCATCCAGGTTTCTAGCCCATCAATTGTCATTTAAAACCCCACCACTGGAAAGCTCACCTGTCTGGTGAATGTCTCTTTCTGTCCTGCTGGACAAGGTGACAGAGATGATGGTAGAAGCATCCTAGCTTCTTTTTATATGTGTGTCTCTGTTCCTGTGTGTGTGTATGTGTGTGTGGGCATGCAATAAGGTCACCACCCAGCTTGTTACTGGGGCGGGTGGAATTACCAGCAAAGGAGGGTGAATTACAGCGAAGGAAAGGAAAGAGAACCAGGTCAAAAAGGCTACAGACTCCTAGCTAGCATACGTATGCAAGGGAGGGATGAGTGAGCAAGTAGGAGTTACACAATTCTTAGGAAATCATTTAAGTAAGGAAAGGAAAGATGAACAGTAATCTGTTCATCTTTCCTTTCCTGGTCTTGTTGGGATCCAGGTCTGGATGTAACCTTTGAAGGCTGTTTTCCCTTCAGAGATACAGTATATAGGGGCTTGCTACCAACACTATAGAAAGGGGTGGACTATTTTTCTTTAATTAAAAATCTGTCCGCTCCCCTGTTTTAATCTAACGTGGTTACTTCCCAGAGAAGGTTGACTGGTTGATTTCCACCAGCAACTATGATTTCTAACTTTCTTTATTTTTGTTAGAAGGCTGCCTGGCCATTTCCCTCTGAATTGGCAAAGAGAAATGTGGTGCAAAACCATCTTGAGTGTGTGGTCACACTTTTCTGTGTCCTGCTGAGGGGGAGGTTACTATTCAAAGCACAGAAGTCTCAAAAATAACCAACATTGGCTTCCACCTAACTCTTCATCAGCTATTGTTCAGTGGTTCTAGAAGTCCATTTATCATTCTTCCTGTGTTATATATTTAAAATCCTTACTTCCTTTTCAGAAACAACCCCAAAATAGTGCCAAGTCATGCTGGGTTGCCAGTTCCCCAGAATGATCTAAAACAAAAATATTAGATCATGCACAGTGATGTTTGGGGGGTTTCCTAAAGTATTTGGATCAGTTAAAAAAAAAAAATCTTTTCACCGCTTTGTTCGATGTTATCTGCAATTCTGGCTTGTAAGGAAAATAAAGGAATAAAGATGCATAAAATAATTAATAACCCTACAATCCACCTCACTTTCTCCCCGGATGGAATAAAAATCCCGGGAATTATTCCCTGATCCATTTGGGTTTACAGACTGGATTATTTTCAGCTTTCAGAGACTTCAAGAATGAGGTCTGAGCTGTCAGGAAATCAAAGAAAAGAACTGGGAATTTCTGTCTGAGCAAGCACTGTATATTTCGTATTACAACTAGTCAACTGTAATTACAGCCCACAACTGGGATCGGAATTACCGTTGTTAAGCAAGGTGGTTGCTAAGTAAGTTACATCGATTTTACAACCCTTTTGCCATAGTTAATAATAATAATAATAATAATAATAATAATAATAATAATAATAATAATAATAATAATAATAATAATAATAATAATAATAATAATAAAGTTGGAAGGAACCTTGGAGGTCATCGAGTCCAACCCCCTGCTGGCTGTCCAGTTTCTTCTTAAAAACTTCCAGTGTTGGAGCATTCACCACTTCTGGAGGCAGGTTGTTCCACTGGTTAATTGTTCTGTCAGGAAGTTTCTCCTTAGTTCTAGGTTGCTTCTCTCCTTGATCAGTTTCCATCCATTGCTTCTTGTCCTGCCTTCAGGCGCCTTGGAGAATAGCTTGACTCCCTCTTCTTTGTGGCAGCCCCTGAGATATTGGAACACTGCTATCATGTCCCCCCTCGTCCTTCTCTTCGTTAAACTAGACATACCCAATTCCAGCTTGTGAACCATATGGTTGTTAAGTGAATCCAACTTCCTCTGCCCCCATTGACTTTGTTTGCTGGAAGCCAGCTGGGACGGCCACAAACGGAGATCACATGACCCCAGGGTGCTATAACTGTCATATGGGTCCGAATTTTGGACTACAAGACACTGCAATGGTTACAAGGGTGAGGACCAGTGGTAAGTTACTTTTTTCAACGTTGCTGTAACTTTGAACAGTCGCTAAATGAATGGCTGTAAGTCGAGGACTACGTGTACTTATCTTTAAGCTTAATTCAAATTAAATATAGTTAACATGATTATCCTCCAGTCACTTTTTCCTAATTTCCCTTGTCTAATGATACGGTCAGGGATTTTCCATCCTACAGACTTATAATTTTAATTTTAATCTTCCCCAGTTTATGATCATGGTTTGTCACCCAAAGCAGGGGTCTTAACAGATAAAACCGTTTCAGTAGAATAGAACATTTCTAGCTCAGG